GAGCAAGCTGCACCTGTTGAGAAGAGATCCTTCTTCAAATAGCACAGCTGAGGATGCGCATATCAAAACTGCAAATCCACATCCTTCAAGCACAGGACCTAGTCATGAAAGGGTAGAAGGGTAGGGTCATGAGAAGTTCTTCTGCTGAGAGATGACCTACATGCCTTGACAGGCCACTGAGCAACTGGCAGGCATTGGAGCAGGCTTTTGAAAGCCAGGCAGTCAGAAAACCCAGGCATGAGGGAACCTGTTACTGCAGAGGAGATTTGTGCCCATTCAGACACAGTGTACGCAGAAGACATGAGCAGTGTTTGCCCAGTGATCAAACATGTCCAATGCTTAGACCACTGCAATTTTAAAGAGTTATCTTCCTCTTTCAAGCAACATGAGAAAGGGACTACAATGTATGTGAACTTTGATTTTCTATGCTTGAAGGAAGTATAAAACAAGAGTTAAATTAATGTTGGTAGGGTTGTTTAAATGTTACTGCGTCCATGAGAAATGAAGTACTGCCAAGCCCTTACAAGAGCTGATGTTTTCCAGAAGAATTATTACAAGGCTGCTATAAATTCCATATAGGACACATAATCAAATGTTCTGCTTAACATCATAATTGCAGCAAGCACTGTGGTGCAGTGTTGCAGAAAGTGTGACGTCCCCCAGGCACGTTCTGACTGAGCAAACAGATATGGAGATGCAGAGGAATGAAAATGGAAGCAGAGTATCTGTTATGAGTGCAGGAGAGCTTTTGATTCAGGAACTGAAAGGAGAATAGGGAAGAAACTAGGAGAAAGGAAATCAGTCCTTGAGGGGATTTTGAAAATGTATTATTGCTGATCTCACAGCACTTGGGGTCCTGGGCTGATCAGTGTAGGTTGTAGTGGTTGAATTTTTAGCACTGTCCAGGATTTAGCCCAGATGAAAGAGGCTTGTTTCTTGGTAAAAGTAGCAATTTTTATATCATCCAAACCAGGTTAGCAGTGAAGGATTTACCACTTTGCCTTCTTTTTCTTCTGCAGGAAGGAATCTCGTGCAGGGCTGTGGTCAGTAGAGGTGTGGATAGGTTTCTTGCAGCTTTGCTAGAATTGGTACAGTAAGGCTCAGCCTAGTAGCTTGCGAAGGTCTGAACCTCTCCACATGTGAGTGAGCATGATGTAACATATGGGAGGGGGCTGCCTCCTTCTGAGGCAACATAATTCTTCTCAAAGCATCGTACCATTGCTGACAGGCTTTTTTAAAATTATCATAGTATTCAGAAAAATTTATTCTCCTGCTGATCTTGCATTTCTGAAAAATGCTTTCTGGCTAAGCATTTGGGTGAGCTACACTTTTCCTCTGTTGGTACTCTTAAGACTATCACCAGGTGGGCTGCTGCAGTTTTGTACTTTGAGCCATCTGTGAAGATTTTAGAAGAGCACTAAATCTTGCTGATAGTGCATTGGTTTTGCAATAAAATGGTTAAAATTCTTAATAATTTATTTAAGCTACTTATTTTTCTGGAAGGTCCTGGGAAGGAAAAGGAAAAGGAAAAGGAAAAGGAAAAGGAAAAGGAAAAGGAAAAGGAAAAGGAAAAGACTGTGAAGCAGAAAACAGCAAATTAGAATTATTGAAATTATTTTCCTGACAAGTCTGTGGTAACAAGCTGTTACTTTATGATGCTTTGTTTTAGTAGTCTTCTTGAAAAACTCCTCTGCACACAGAGCCTAGTTCAGCTTCTCCTTATTAGATCTTTACTAGATGTCCACGTTATTTGGTCCCTAGAGTGCTCTTGGTATTTTCAAAATTAGTTTAAATAGGTTAAATATGAATAGTTTGGATTAAGCTGTTTTAAAATAGCCCTTTGAGGGATTACTACAAAAATGGCGATTAAAGAGAAAATAAGGGTTAAACGTAACTATTCCACTTCCTCAGCTGCTACTTGCAGTAGCTACCATAGCAATTCTTGGCCTCAGCTTTTCATTAACCTGAAATGAAGCTGAGATGTGCTGGCTCCATGTTGCAGCTGTGTTGTGGAAGTGGGGTGAGGTGTGGGTAGCATGTTCTCTTTTTTGGCATTGCTGAGTTTTCACAAAATGATCAGAATCACGGAGTGCATGGGGTTGGCGGGGATCTCTGGAAGCCAAATGGTGCAGCTCTTCCTCAAGCAGCATCGCCCAGAGCAGATTCCATTTGCCTCTTGAAATTGTCCTTGGGCACCACTGCAAAAAGCCTGGATCCATCTCCTTTTAGCTCTTTAACTATTAGCAGAGCTGGAGTCTTTCTAATAAAAAAAGGAAATTCTGGAGAAAATGGAACAGCTACTTGTTTCACATCTGCATTGCTGTTGTTATTCATAGAGAGTTTTCATGTAGGCTGCCAATAAAAGGTCCCACAGAAAATGGTTCTCAGTGGTTCTGCTTCGAGTTCATTACTTGCTTGGTATTTGCTGATTGTTAGCTACTGAACCAACTGTTGTACTGCCTAAGTTATGGATCAGATACCCCAACTGAGCTTTAATGGTGTAATTATTTATCTTTGTATAAAAGTTTGACAAATAGAGTTTAGAAAAAAGGCTACACAGTCTACATAGTTTTTTTCTGAGGTTGAGGGGTAAAGCATTTGTCCACTAATTTTTAGTAGTTTTTGGGGAATATTGACTTCTGGAAGCTGTCCCTCCCACATCCATCTATCTGTTGCTGTGGATTTTTACTGGTTATAATGTACTAGTCCAATATACTTAACACTTTGTAGCAATCAAAACTTAATTTGAAGTTAATAAAAAGCATGGTTTTCTGTCTGTTAAGGTTAAATGTAAGGTGTTTAGTAAGTTTTTACGAGCAATACAACTTCAATTGTAGTATTTTTAATCAACAAAATTGAGTTTCAAAAAGCCACCAATAAGCTTTTTTGTGAAGAGCAGATCAAGACATGTTAATTTAAGCTTCAGATGTGACTTTTAAAACTGGCCTATTCAAATCTTTTATTTACCCTTGTGTAATCTCAATTTAGGTTAAATCAGCAAGCAATTAAATCTGAAGAAGAGTATGCACAGAGAGGGCTGTATAGATCTAAGTAAGCAGTTTCAGTCAACTCCATTATGTTGAATCAATGTTCCCTTTTATTTAAACTATGCTTAAAAATTACTTTGAGTCAATTCCTTACATAAAATGTTGTAACTCAAGTGATGTATTAAATTAAAAAGAAATCAGAGGTTAGTTCATGAGAGCAGTCACGTGCTGTATCATCGTACATCTTGAGGAGTGAAGGGTTTACAAACAGATTTCTCTTAGGGAAGAAAAGCAATTGACACCCAATTAGTGTTAAAGCATATTCCTAAAGCTCAATGACTTGAGAGCAAATTACAGTTGTCATTGTGGATTTGTGAAGTGTGCTGAACCGTGATATGTTCCTTCAGAGGGAAGTTGCTCAGACATGAAAGTATATAACAAGCACAGCAAGTACAAGTTCTCTATGTTTCTATAATATCAGTGCTTCAATAAAGCAAGTTTGTCAAGTAATCACAAGGTCAACTGAATGCATTTTTACAAATTCCTGCTATTAGTTTAATACCTATCAATGACTCACTGAGCTTTCAGCCAAACTCCAGTACATCATTCCCTCTTCCACCAGCCACTCACGAACCATTGTGTTTGTAGCTGCAAGCTGACACAGAGATGGCAGTCTTTTCATGAGTAAAATAACGCAAGTGAAAGCTTTTTGCTATGTGACTAGTCAGCAAAACTTTCTGAGCATGGCCTTTCCCCCTCTGAGCATGGCCAGTCCTCTGAGTGAGCATCTATGCAGTGTGATGGTGATTAGGTAAACCCTAATCAGAGAAGGAAGTCCTCAAATGTCTTTGCTCTTCCTTTATTCATAGAATTATTGAAATCGTAGAATGTTTCATAGAAAAGTTTCAACTCCCCTGCTGCGTGCAGAGTCGCCAACCACAATCATCTAGAATCAACTAGAATCATCTAGTTTGAAAAAGACCTTCAAGACCACCAAGTCCAACCATCAGAGTGAGCTGCCGAGTCCCCTCACTGTTGACCATCTTGTATATGCTACACAGAGCACTGCCCTAAGGCTGGACTTCACCGTCATCCACTCATTTTAGCAAGTTGGTAGGCAGCGCGTGCTGAAGCCAGGCTGAATGATCTCAAGCCACTTACATGGCTTCACTCACACTCTTAATTCAGAGTTGTCCTGAATAGCAATGATTTTCTCAACTGGGAGTAGGGACTACTTAGGAATGAAGTAATTAAATTGCATTTCTCATGAAAAGCCTTCACTGTTAATTTATAGTATTTGTCATATCTCTGGGAATGCAGTCACAGAAACAAAGAATGAATTGAGAACAAAAGGAGTGAACTTACTTGAGAAATTTTTATTTCTGAAAAATTTCATGGCAATTTGAAGCTTGTTTCAATTGATTTTAAGAAATCCTTTCCAAGCTTTTAGGCGTATAAAGAAAAGTTTAGTCCTAATTTTTTTTTTCCTGTGAGCTCATTAGTCAAGAATGAGATAATACTCTTTTACTGCAATTAAAAGTCCTACATAAATGGGATCTTAATGTTCTTTTTGTTTTTTAGTATCAGTTCTGTAAAACTTGTTCTGTCTCACCTGTCATTGATGTGGAATGTAGGAAAGGGTAAGGAAAGGTGAAGGTAGATTCAGCCATAAGGGAGAGAAATATTAAATGTGAAAACAAGAAAATCAACACGAAACCCACACAGATTTAATGGCAGTTAACTCTAAATATTGCAAACAGGAAATTTAAGTTCATATAAAGCCGTATCAAGTAAAGTATGAAGGAAACATCAATACATTCACATCACGTTACATCTTCCTTTGCTCACATGAATAATGATAGACTTTTATTTGAGAAGACTTGTCCTTCATTATTTTTATCTTCTTATTTTTCAGGTAATAATATTGAACTACTGTTATCTCCTATACTAGTTAACATTGGTGTCAATTTTATTTTAACTTTCTGAAGTAGTTTGATCGCTTTCTCTTTCCAGGACCCTCAACCTACAGGAATAAGACCTCAAAGTGGTCCACAAGCAGGTGGAACCACCCTTACCATCACTGGTATGAACCTGGCAACTGGTTCCAAGAAGGATGTTCGTGTTTTTCTCGGTAGCCAGCCTTGCAATGTGTACGTACCCTGGGTAACAAAGAATACAGAGTTGTATCCTAACAAAGCACCAACCTTTTCTGGCCTTTAGAAATTGCACAAATCTTTTGTATATCTCTTAGTGGTAGTGACTCATGCTGTGCAATGTGGTTCTGCATGTAATGTTCAGACACAAACTCACTCAGAGGCTTCAGATGGAATAAGTAGCTGCAAAAATCACCAAAGCTGAAGAACTCAGTTATGCAAAGAATTTTATAGTTTCAGCTCACTCTGATTGACTGGCTGCTCCGAATCTGGCCATGCTCTCACTCAGCATTTCCTCAGTGGTTCCATACACATATATGCTTTTAATCCCTTTTTGCCCCTTGATTTTTTCCTCTCAGTTCATGATCTTTTTATTAAATGCTGCCCTTCTCTCCCCCCAGAAATGGAGTGAGATGAAATGTGCTGGCATCACATTGTGTTTGTACAGTATTCCTTTTCATATCTGCTTAAAAACTCTAAATGATCGGAGAAGATGTTACCTACTCATGTAATTTCCTAATGCTTAGGAAAAATAGAGTTTTTTGTTGTTGTTATTATGAAGTACTATAGTAAAGAATACAGATCACAGTAATGTTAGTAACTAAAGATGTTTCCTTTTCTTTATCTTCTGCAATTTAGCACTGAATTTGGAGATGAGATTGTTTGCGTTACAGGACGTAATAGCAAGGTTGAAGCTGTTGGAGTCACAATGCGCTATGGGGAAACAAAAATTGATGTACCAGTGCAATTTTCATACAGTGAGAATCCTACTGTCACCAAGTTCAAGCCTGTAAATAGCTTCAGCAGGTAATGAAATGTTTGTCATTACCTCATTTACAATTGGGTTAGAATATGTTGTAGCTTTTTCTCCATATAGAACTGTTTGAAATAAAAACTACCATAGTCTCAAACTTATACTCTGACTGTTCTGCCTATCGGGCACAGTTGACAGAAAGAGGAATCAAGTAAAGTTTTTCTTTCAGGAAGAAGTATCAGATCATGATCTTAAAAATAGGATGATAAAAATAAAATCAACCATGACATCTCTCAGATAAATCGGTACCTTCCTGCATGTATAGGGAGTAATTGCTTATGTAAAATTTGATGTGTTTTTCATACTTGCTTTTGATTTTTGTTTGGGTGGTTTGGAGGCCTTAGGGGTTCTTTGGTAGATCACTAGTGATTTACTCCAGAGTATTTAAAAGACTTCTTTTTCCTCCCTGTGAACTGACCTTATTTTAATGGATTGCTCTGAGGATTGCTATCCTTCTCAATCTCTGTTACTGAGAAGACTTTGGTTCCCACTGGCCACTTGTATGCATTCTTTTTCTTATGTGAATACATTCTCTTCTAAAAAATATGTTGCAAATGAAAAGGAATAGGGAAGCCAGTTCCCTGCAGATCTGTGGAAAATACACTTACCTTTATCTCAGTGTGTGGTAGGTGGACAGATCTGAACAAAAACATTGCAGAAGTAAAGCATACAAAAATAGGCATCAGTGAAAAGCTATCGACAAAATGACTTGCACTTTTCTATTCTGCTATTTTAAAATTAGTTTTAAGTTGACAATGCTGTTTTTAAATGATGTTGTGATCAATAGCTTTAACAGAAATTCTTTGTGTAGAATATCTATGTGACATATAGCAATTACATAACTGTTTTTAGTGGAAGTAGTAGTGCTGTAGGATAAAACAATCTATAGCTGTAGTATTTTGCCAATTACTTGACTTCTCTATTAATTTTGTCTTTCAGTGGAGGGAGAAATATTACAGTAACTGGAACTGGGTTTGAACTGATCCAGAGTTTCTCACTGATGGTACATGCAGAGCGTCCAGAAGTAGGCAAACTGAGCTCCAAAACGGTAATTTTCTTTTTCCCCCACAAGGCATCACACTGGATGCATAACACATAATCTATTTAAAAAAATGCATGAGTTTGCCCACTTGAATTCATTGGGCTTGAGATGGAGTGATGTTTGAACAGGCTTCTGGGTCTGTTCTGGATCTCAGCCTGAGAAAAGCCCACTCCTGCCATCTTCACTTACATTTACTTGGATCTTGTAATCTTCTGCTTTAAAATTATTTTAATTCAAAATGAATAAGGATATAAGAATTAAGCTTTGGATGGTAAACTGGATATATTTCAGAACTTGAAAGCGGTGTAATTTGTCTTTCTCCTTCCTTGCAAACTTCAGCAATTTCCCTAAAAGTCCTACAGTATTGCATTCTTGGCTTGCACAGTTAGTGCTCAAGAAAAAAATCTTCTCTTTCTTTCTTCAAGCATATTCCACTTGTATATTCAAGCATATTCCTAAAAAAAAGACATGAACAATAAATAAAGTTAAAAAAGAAAACAAACATCTTGCTTGTAATGTTAAGAACTGACATTATCTGTAGGTCTCAATTTCCCCCTCTTCTCATGAAGATTGCAATTTAATACAAAGATAGAGAGCTTAAAAAACAATCTTCCAGTAAGAATGTGTTTTAAGGCTTTTTTTTAAGGCTAGCTTTTCAATTTAAGGCTGTAGCGTGGCTCAATTTCAAAAATAATTATAGAGTTGCTAATCTGCATTTCTAGTGTTTTATGTGTGGTTCAACTTTTAGAGTATGCCAAAGCCAGCTGGATTTCAGGTCCTATCCTTTAAGAATTTTAAGAGGAAAACTGCTTTTCACAGTCAATAAACTGTGAAGTATAATTATCTTGCTTACCTTAAATCCTAGGACAATCTTAAACTATTTAGCATTCTTGTCATTATTTACCCATGTGTCTTTCTGCCCCTCCTCGTGTATGCTTAGCATCTCCTCAACTTTTTAGCTGAAGTCTACATTACATACACTTCACTTACTTCACTTACTTACTACGCTTTTTAATCTTTTTTGATCTTTTGTTTTGCTTCCGTTTCTGTAGCAATATCAATATTCAGGGGAGAATCTATCAAGTGGCATTTGATTTCTGTGAGAAACTAAGGTGTTAGTAGAGGAAGTTCTGAGGGTTCATGTTAGTGCTGTTGGCTGTGCGTGTTAGTGTTGTTGGCTGTGGTTTGTGTAACTGAATGGCTGAAGGAGTTTGTAGGATAAGAACATTTATGTAACTGAGAGTGAGGTGAGGAGCAGATCAATAGAGTTGTTATCAATTAGTAACAATTAGTAAATTTTATTCAGAAATTCACTTTGTAATAGTCTTGAATTTCAACAAGGTATTCTACAGTGTCAGTAAAAAGAACCTGAGACGCTTAATGGTTCAGAAGGTGATCTGAATTAAACTTCCCATGTAAACCTCTTAATCTTAGAGCAATTTACTGATATCCCAATTGTCCAGAGCCACAGAATTTGGAGGCAATGGAAAGTGAGCTGTTTTTTTTCTGGGGACAGCTGCTAGAACATAATGAATCAACAATTTGTTCCCATCATTATTACTTTTCTTTTTAGCAAGTACCATGTACTGTGTTATTTTTGCTGTTTGAAGAGCATGTATCTCCAGTGTTTTTATTTCTGAAGTGTGAAGTTATCAACATTTATGTATAAGAACCAATCAGACTCTAATATGTTCATGTTCTTCTCTTGTTTCTTACAGTTTGTTGGAAACTGGGTTATGAGACTTAATGAAACCACAGTGGTTTTTTCTTCATTACCAATATTGGAAGATCCAGAAAACTATAACATTACCACCATTATTCAGATGGATCATTATCAGTTGGTTGTAAAAAATGAGAGCCATTCATTTACATATGTTGCAGACCCGACCTTTGAAAATTTCACAGATGGCATCAAAAAGCAAGTCAACAAACTTATAAATGCAAAGGTAAATTTATTAAGAGATTATGGTTACTCACTTTGTCCTTGACACGTGTGGGATTTTTCCTTTCTTTCAAAAACCCTTAACCTATAATGAACAGCTGTTTGGTATAATATTTAGAATTCTAGAATGCCTTACCCCTGCTAGATAATAAATATTGTCTCTCCTTTCCCTCCCCTGCCCTTCTCAGAGGCCTTTTTGCCATACTTTGGGTTTCCCCAGGACTCCACTACTGTTGAGTCTGGCCTTTGGAAATTTCTTCTCCCAGAGAGCTTTCAAGGACTGGAGGGAACTTTTCTTCTTGCGTCAAGAAGAAAAGGAGAAGGAATTGTATAATTCCCCTCCACTCTGCTCTTCTGTACACTACAGTATGACTCACATCTGCTGCTCAAAATGATCCAAATAGATATTAACAACTCGGGATTTCTCATATCCCAAGACTTTGCCTTAATGACTTACCCTTTTATTTTCTGTCTAGGGCAGTAACCTGAACAAAGCCATGACCATAGATGAGGCCCAGGCTTTTGTAGGTGATGAGCCTTGCAACATAAAAACACTGACCGAAACAGACTTATATTGTGAGCCGCCTGAAGTACAGCCACAGCCAAAGAAAAGGCAGAAGAGGGATATGATCAATAACCTTCCAGAATTCATTGTAGGTTACCTTTTCAATATAATGTATACCATAAAGAAACTCCTTGCAGTTATTTTTTCCTCCAGTTTCTGCTTCCTGTCTAGAAGATGTCACATGTAAAGAGTGTTTCCAAGCTGCTGAGCTGTACATTCTTTACATGGGAGTGTAAAATTCTAGCTAGGCAAGCTGGGGATTTGTCTTCCTCTGCAAAGTAAAGTAAAATTATTTCATAGAATAAAGTGCTACTGACCAAATTTTATATAAAATATTCAGAAATGTTTATTTTGTTTGACAAATTGAGCTAGAAATTCACTTAGTGAGAATTACTAAGAATTTAGAGCACAACTGAAAAGTGAACCACTGTCCATTTGCAGTTCTTGAGGCAGATGTCTGTGCTTAACAAATTAGGTGAAATTTGGACTCCGTGAATGGGTCCTCGGAAGGGTGGAATATGATACACGTGTGAGTGACATCCCACTGAATCTTATTTTGCCACTGGTACTTATTCCTATGATAGCAATCATCATCATTTCTATCATCTGCTACAGGTAAGAAGTTCCTTTAATTATGTCTTTTTGTTGTCCTATGTCCTAAAGTTTAAAAGGTAATACCTGATTGTTCTGAGCTTAACCAACAAAATATCTTTATAAATTTTAAGAGCTGTAGGTTTAAGAAAAGCAGTTAAGGCTGGAAATATGTCTGAGCACCAGTTTATTCCTCTCACGCACACCAAATTATCTGGTGTCAGTCAGCATGGTCTGTAAGCCATTGGTCCAAGGTTTGCCTAGCGCGCAACTGCAAAGTGGCACATATAACATTCTTGAAATGGCTGCTAATGTGCCTCCCCTGAAGGATATAACCTATTCTGCATACATATCCATCCACATTTATGCTGCCTCAGTCAGCACTGTAGCTCTAAGCTGGATGTATTTGGCTAAGTGGTCCTTTTGGTCTTTCAAGCTGAGATAAGTGTTACCCACACACAAATTTCATGATTAAGTTCACACTTCACAAAGGGCCAGAACAATGTCTGTACTTCACTTGAGACCTACTTAGCATAATTTTGAGGTTAGTAATACTGACCTCATGCACAGTCCTTAAGAGTAGGTGGATTTCATTCCAATGGTGTGTATCAGCAGTGCAGATGTCCTGTAGCCTCCTTGGTTCACTTATTGTTGCGTACCCTGGATGCCTCATAGCTAGTGTAGAACAGGTTGCAATTAGTCTTTGTTTGGTACATACAAATTAAGCTTCTGTACTGAATATATAGGGTTTGTATGTATAAATATTTGTAGCTAGTGCTTGTTGGATTTCAAATCTCTGCCCCAGCACGCTTTCAAGTAGCAGGCCTGTGGTGGTGCCAGGGTGATTGGCACTAAATTTGAGCTACTGATGCTGTTCTCCCTTTCTTTATCTGTCACTAGTGTTCAAAAGGAAATCTAAGCCAACAACAGTCCTCCTGTCACCCCCTGTTGCAAATTATTAGCTTTTACAATTTGTAACTTTTGTAAATCTTATTTCTATTCCATAAAGACGGAAGAGCCAGCAAGCAGAACGAGAGTATGAAAAAATTAAATCTCAACTTGAAGGCCTGGAGGAGAGTGTCAGAGACCGGTGCAAGAAGGAATTCACAGGTATGACAGATATTTGCACTGCTGTGAATCCTCTTGAGCAATCAGAAGACCTGTGATGCTATCTTGCTAAAACTGTCTCTTGAGAACAAATAATTCAAAGTAGATCTCGGTAGTTTTGATTACACACAGATATTGACACACAGCAAACATTTTGCTATTACATATAAAAATCATAAATTAAGTAAAATATGGAGTTGAGGTTCTTAAAGGAAATGGACAGTTTTAGTCTAAAGGAAGCACAGTTTTCTATTATGAAATAAAAATAGTTGAGATAGGGTTATTTATAGTTATTTATACACATACATTATTAATGTGAGTGGACTGACACAGAGGAAAGACAGGTTCGCAGTGTCTAACTGTCCGCTTAGTATTTGGCACAATGGCAATATATGCCAAGTATGTACATGAAAAAATGATTTTCAGACCTGCAAAATGTATTTTCAGCAATCAGTCTGCAAAGGGATAATTGGCAAGCACGCAGGAAAGAAATAGCATGTTGTACTGTTTATCATGGCAAGACCCTATGCTTGATTTGAGAAGCTAGGTAATTGTTTTGTATAAATGTAGAAGCATCATCCCAGGGAGGACAGCAGGAGGTGTGTAGGCTCAGTATTTCTACATGTTGAACCACTCATTGCAATGCTTAAATTAAGCATCTGAATGCAAACATTGCAAATATTGGCCTAAATGATTACCATGAAATGTCACCTCATTATCTAATTAGACTTGCTGTTGGGTCGTGTTGAAATAATCCCTACTAAAAAAGCCACAGGTTTTATTCTAGAGAGAAGTATATTACTTCATGTTGACAGCAGCTAACAAGAAGGATTGAATTAAACACCAATTTGAGGTTAGAGTTTGAAACTAATGTTAGGAGCTTGGGTATCTCAGTGACTTCTGCCATACTTGAAGCCTCTCCAAGTCTTGTTTTCCAGAAATGTTGGAGACAGAATGTTCTTTCCTTTGTCAGCTTTCTTTCTCTGGAATGCTAACTCTATCCATGTTCTAGATGCAACCCAGAAGCAAATATTTGAATCAAAAACTGTTCCTAGAGAAGCTTAATTTCAAACTGCATTTTGAAATGTGAAAGGTTTAATCAAGGTTAACAGCACTCTCCCACTGCCTCCCCAATGCAACCTCATACTCAATTCTGAAAGGAGAAGGTGCCTTTCTCTTGCTGACCCTCCCTGGAGGGTGCTACAGACTCCAGGTGTTTGGTGGGTTGAAGGTTTCTTCTCTGCTCCATTAAGCACAAACACTGAGCAAACAGAAAGCATCTGCAAGGAGCAATCCAGTTTCCAAACTGCATCCACCTTGGCTGACAGTAGAGTGAAACACTGAAGGCAAAACACGTTCTGGAGCCACAGTATAAAGCTATAATGACAGCAGCATGAAATACAGACAGTCTGAAATACGTAGGACCAATAATAGTCAAGGAAAGAGCCATCAGGGAGGAAGCGCAAATACCAAAGAGCTGGAAACCACAAGATGCTTTCTCTCTTAGGGTTTGCTGACTGCTCTAAAATAAAGGGGTAAATGAATGCATATGAGCAATAAAATTGCAGAAACACGAGGTCACTATATTAATTAACATGGTATTCTAGTCAATCAACAATACTGGGTAATTGGAAATCCTACAGCTAAAATAGCTCTTCTGAAAGATGATTCCCTAGTTGTTGTCCTTTTAAGAAATTCAAAGCTTCTGAGTCCCACAGAAATGTCTCCATCAATTTCAGCAAGACATTTAACCTTCTTACTTCCTGCCATCCCCTTCCTCTCAATTAAATTAGTGTTCTTTATGCTTTAAACTGTACTTTTCCTGCATTGCTATGTGTTTTTAAAAATAACTTTCATTATTGCATGGATTCAGAGAAAATAGAACATACTTTGAAAAAACTGAAAAAACAGTATTGCTGTGTCTGTTTTTTGCTCTTTGCAGCAACCCCAGGTTCATATGTATGAACTCGCTCAGACATCCATTAAGGCTCTCTTTCAATAGATGTAAACAAGGAAACTATCTGTGCTAGAGACAGATGTGCAAGTCACCAGAGGATTAGCTGTGGTCATAGTTAACAGGATAATTGGCAAAAGTAACAAGAGAAAATATGAGTTGAGATGGAGTTTTCAGTGATGAGTTACTTCTATGTTGCGTGGTACCCAAAGAGAAGAGATTGTGCTACCAAAAAAGAAAAAGATTTTTTTGGTTTTTTTAAATCAACTGTTCAACTGTGTTATAGATCTAATGATAGAAATGGAGGATCAGACAAATGATGTAAATGAAGCTGGAATCCCAGTTCTGGACTACAAAACGTACACAGACAGAGTCTTCTTCTTGCCCTCCAAAGATGGGGAGAAGGATGTGATGATTACAGGAAAGCTGGATATTCCAGAGGCTCGACGGCAGACTGTGGAGCAGGCTCTGAATCAGTTCTCCAACCTCCTCAATAGCAAATCATTTCTCATTAATGTGAGTATTGAAGTAGATTCACTTTGTCTCTTAGCTTGGCATACCTTGGCATTCAGCACAGTAGGTTTGCAAGTCCAAGTGAAATGAGGTCCATAGAAATAAGCTATTTTCTTAAGACTCTGGTTTCATACTAACCGAAGCCAAATCTGTGGCACTGCAGCCAGAACTTCCTGGAGTTACAGATAGGCATTTCTGTAGAACCAGCCATAGCATGTTGCATAGCCTTAGTCATCATTACAGCGGCTGCAGGAAAACAGATATTACCTGCCATAAAAGCTGCTGTTACATGTTAGTGTATGTTTATCTTTTTAAGAAACGTGGCCAAGGGAATGGTGATTCCCTCTTGGTTCAACTAGGTGCTGTGGTTACCAGTTACCTGCTGGAAGCTGTCACCTGGATTTCTCTCCCAGACAGCCCAAGACATAGGCTCCTCCAGAAACAAGTGCCCTATTCATAAAAATGATTGATGAATACTCAGCTCCTCCAAAAAGATATCTAATTGCTCACTCTCAAAAATTGAGCTGATTGTCAGACACCTAAATATAGATTTAGGCCGCTACCTACTTCTTATTCTTTAATGAGGCTCCAGTGTTGAGCTAGTTAATGGTAACATTATGGTTGCTGGCAGAACAGAATGCATTCCCAGGTGCACTTACTTAGATTAGTGGCTTTATAATACGATGTGAAAGGACTGGGAATTTGGGAAAGAGGAGAGTTGATTTTCCTGTTTAAAAAATTGTCACAGAACACATTATTTTTCTTCCTTTCTTCCTTTCTCTCTTCTTTTCTTTCTCTCTTTCTCTCTTTCTTTCCTTCCTTCTTTCCTTCTTTCTTTCTTCCCTTCTTTCTTTCTTTCTTTCTTTCTTCCCTTCTTCCCTTCTTTCCTTTTTCTTTCTTTTTTCTTCCTTCCTTCCTTCCTTCCTTCCTTCCTTCCTTCCTTCCTTCCTTCCTTCCTTCCCTCCCTCCCTCCCTCCTTCCTTCCTTCCTTCTTTCTTTCTTTTCTTTTTTCTCTCTTTCTTTCTTTCTTTCTTTCTTTCTTTCTTTCTTTCTTTCTTTCTTTCTTTCTTTCTTTCTTTCCTTCTTTCTCTCTCTCTCTCTTTCTTTCTTTCTAATTAAAGCATCCTTTTTGCTTAAGGCTTCAGTTAAAATATATTAGCATTCCTTGGATTAGCAGACTGTGTATCTAAAACCAAATGATAGGGAGCATATTCTTACAAGTAGTTTTTTCAAACTTCTGAAAACTTTTCCATGTTGTGTTTAGGTTACTGTTAAAATAATATTCCTCATCTTCTTAACGCAGACAAGTGTTGAGGTTCTTCACAAAAATGTCAACTGACCTGATTTTCCATTTGTTTTCTATTTCAGTTTATTCACACGCTGGAAAACCAAAGGGAGTTCTCTGCTCGAGCTAAAGTGTATTTTGCATCTTTACTGACGGTCGCTTTACATGGAAAACTAGAATACTACACTGACATCATGAGGACGCTGTTCTTAGAACTGATGGAGCAGTACGTGGTGGCCAAAAACCCAAAGCTGATGCTAAGAAGGTTTGAATGATTGTTATATTATTCTTTAGGTCTCTATTTTCTTGAAAATGTACTTCTTTTGCACCATGACTGCATTAAAACACCAGCTATCTGTGAAAGTCAAAAACACCCTCACCGAAGCATATTAGGAAGACAACTTCACCAGAAATAGCCATGGAAGGCAAAAGCCAGACTGTTGGCAACAGATTTCCTTATTCATATTGCTGTGACATAGAATCTGTATCAAGATTACTGAAGCATCTACCTTACTTCAAAATACAATAATGAACATTTCATTTACTTTTTAATCTGATTTTATTCCAGATTATCTAGCATTTATACCACACGTCATCTCCGTAATGAGCACACATAATCAGCTTTCATTATGTATTCGATGAAGGCTTGTACTAATGTTTTTAACCCTCCTGTTATCTCAGTCCATTACAGAAGGCCTTGCTGTGCACATGTGCTTTGTAATCTGTAGAGTTGCTTTCCCAGTATGTGCACTTCTGGGTTAATTTTTTAGCTCTTCTTACAGCATAGACACAGTTTAAGATTTTGCATAAAGACTGTGCTTTTTAGTAATGAGCTGAAGGTACTCGGGAATGATGAGCAATACAAAGCACTTATCATAAAGCAAGTACATGCTCTCAAGACTCTGTAGGGAAATCATTGCATTAGGAGAGTGCCTGCAGTTAAGCATGTAAAAAATATTATACTTCAAGCAACATTTTTCTTTAAAACTTTGTCATTAAGTGCCGTTAACTTACTTGGCATTGTATTTTTTTTAGATCTGAAACAGTTGTTGAGAGAATGTTGTCTAACTGGATGTCTATTTGTTTATATCAGTACCTCAAGGTAAGAGCTGAAGTCTGTTGCCTTTGGGGTTTTTTCATCAGTAATACTTAAACGAACTGCATTGAATATATCTTTCCATTTTGTTTATTTTGCTTTATTTCCTTTTAACAGGACAATGCTGGGGAGCCTCTTTACAAATTGTTCAAAGCCATCAAACACCAGGTAGAAAAAGGTCCAGTGGATGCTGTACTGAAGAAAGCCAAGTATACACTGAATGACACAGGCTTACTAGGAGATGATGTAGAGTATACACAATTGGTAAGCAGAGCATGGTTAATATGTTATAAAAGTACTTTCCTATTATAATGAAAATGTGCAGCGTTAAGACTACATACTTTCTGAACTACTATGATCTGCACAGAAATCCTGATCAGGGGCAATACTGTAGATGGTCTGCAAGTCTCCAAGCAGGAAAGTAGAGTTATAATCTATTTTCTAAGCGTTAAATTCCAGTCCTACCACTGTGGAATTCACTTCAGTAAATCCCTTCCATATTTTTCAAGATCTGCCTGAAGAGTGGCTGTGGTGTTTACCTCCTTCCCTTTTTCCATCTAAATTAACTTGTGATTGATGTTGTTAAATTCTTTCACTAACATTGTGCTTGAACTTCAGGTTGTTTCTCTCGCTTTTGATTTCATCTTGTCAGAAAAATTTTTTTCATCTCCGATTCCCCTTTTATTGACATGTTAGCAGTCATTTGTGGTTGTCTCCAACTGAGAAGGACGCAGTGACATATCTGCAGTGTCAAAAGAGAAACTTAACCAAAAGCTTTATTAAGTCTGTTTGCGTATTCTGAAGGGATGCTGATGGGAGGGCTGATGTGAGGAGATTGCCGTAGGACTTTCACTCACAGAATCACTCGGCTGTTACCTAGACTGCCTGGAGGAAAAGGGAGTGCTGACCAAGAATGAATATTTTAAGTTCAGTTGTTATGTTGGGCATTAGTGGTGTTTTTGTGTTAATATCTGAGCTGAAAGTCTCACTCAGAGAACTGCACTAAGTGACAGTGCTGTTTCCATTTTCTCTTGTGTATGGTGAAGAAAATGTATTTGCACTGTGCATCATACAAGACTTCATAGCAGCAATTTGTTATTCAGTCAGTTTCTTTTCATAAAAATCTGATGCCTATAATTAAGCTAAATGAATGCAGTGCAACAGCAGAAAATGTGTGTGTGTAATCAGATGTGGGCAGAACAAGCACATTTAGATGTTAAACACTATGACATTGTATAGTAGCAGTATTTGGTCCAGAATCACAAATTTCACATAAAACAATTATCTTGTGTGTGTGTGTGCACATGTAAGATAATGAGATATACACAGATATATGTGTGATAAAAGACTGTGAAGCACTGCTTTAAATTACTGGGATCTTCGGCATGATGATGACGATGCTGTGGTAACAGAGAACAGTTAGGGAGCACTCATCTACCCAGGTCAGTTAAAGCATGAGTTAATTAGTTCACTTCTGCTGGAAAGTGAGATGTGGTGGGAGAGTACGGTACAGAGCAGTTGTCTGTGCTCTGATTGTTCTTATTTAAAAGCTGAGTCTGTTTTGCATCACTGGTTACGCTGACATGCTGCATACTGAACCAGCAGCAAATCATGTCTAATTACCATAAAACTAATAGGAAAAGGAAGGTGAAATCTCATGATTAGTTTGAGAGTTCTGCCAAGGGACAGTGCAATCATGTTTAATTTCACTGCTGTATGGCATAGTTTTTCTTCGTGCAATAAAAATACCAACCATGCAAGTTCATTTCCGAGGCTCACGGTGATAAATTTAGGTGTCATGGTTGGCAGGACCAGATGAGATGCTTAGGATCGCTGGCTGGTCTTGTGACATGCTTGGCTTCCAAAGCTTCCTGACCAGCAAAAGCTCCACAAAGACGTGGTGTTGTACTGATTTGGATACTGAAAGAATGAGGTTTGCTACAACGTCTGTTTGTTTTGGGTATTTTTTCCTCCCACGGAGGCTTACTGGCCATCATTTTCTCATTTGCTTCTATCTGTGTTGAAACTGACGTATATAATGAAGATACTTCTAAAAAAATCCCCCTAGATTTAACAAATTACAGGCTTTCAAGAGATTCACTTTAACATTAAAAAAAAACCTGTCAGTACTATCAGAAAACAGTAATATTTTAGAACTATTATAAACTACTTAGGTATACTTCCTGGAGCTATTATGGTTATTGTGACAATAGTGAGCAATAAATAAAGTCTTGGAATATCAGAGCTGTTGTATATGGCTTTTATATATACAGATATATGTGTCTGTGTATTTATATATGTCTAGTGAGCAGCTGGTCACAGGAGATAAAGTTATGGGAATGGATAAATCACTACTCATCATCTGAGCCATGTTAGATCACATATGTACTGGCTTAGGCTGCTCAGCTTGAGAGGTAAAACCTGATCTGTGAAGATAGCATAAAGAAAGACAAAGGTGTGCTGTGTTCTAGGAATTCAGAAAAGTGCAGTTCAGGTGGTTATTGGTAACGCATTAAGTTTAGGCACTGTGTTACTTGTGCTTCTTGTGTCCCAAGTTATCAGGCCACAAGAGAAGCCTGTAGCTAGCCAGTGCTCCAGCTGCTTTGTTCTTGTGCCTCCCCGTTATTTAAAAAATTAATAATTTCCCAGGATTTGATAATGGTATCATATTGCACATAAGAAAATCTATTCTGGAGCTTTCTTATTTTATCATAGTAGGAAGAATTAGCTGGAGTTTTAAAAGAGCTGCTGACTGAAATAATCTATGGTCTCATTGCAAATATGTATTATTGTGCAGTAATCACTGAACAATACATTTTTATTTGAATTTATTTTATTTAAATATTGTTTGCATTTAAACTATCTAGTAAACCAGATTTACAGGTAATTTAAGCACTGATTTGTCATAATAACTGTATACATTTTTTCTTTCACAGACAGTAAATGTGTATGTACAAGATGGAGGAACTGATTCTACACCTGTTAAAGTGCTGAACTGTGATACCATATCACAAGTAAAGGAAAAGATAATAGACCAAGTCTATCGAAATCTGCCATGTTCTCAGTGGCCAAAAGCTGAGAGTGTAGCTCTTGGTAGGTTGCTGCTTGTGATCCTATATAGAGTTGATGAAACGTGCTTTGTGATTTTGACTTTTCCACATTGCCAATAATTCCTACAAAAGCAACAGGAAGAAAAAGTTGAATTTATGTTCAGTTGGATGCAAATATACCACATTTTACCACAATCTTAATATGCATTTAAAATTAATGCTTTCTTATAGAGTTCTTTTTCATGATTCTTGAAGTTTTTGTCTACTGTCATTAGTGTGTAAAGAGCCTGTTAATGACTGTTAGCACAAATGTATTCATGTCTGACAGTATCGCAGGTACTAATTAATGTGATAATGACAGCATGGACAATTAACTGATGGAAAAGTAATGATGCATTTTCAGAAACTGGTACCAATTTTGATCTTATGATTGTTCAAAAAATTTATAACTTAGAGGAATTTCACTTTTAAAAGATGATGAGCCACCCAACCTATGAAAATCATCATCTTCGAAGGCTTTCAGAATTGCTGCTCTCTTCTGAAGGAAAAAAAGAAGTCTGACCTAAAAGGTCTAATAATCTCGTAGTAGAAGCTCTATTTAAGAAGTTTTGCAATATCCTCATTAATACCTTAATTTGAAAGTAGAGGATGCAATTTTTACTCTTGAGAAAATACTGGTAAATTAATTAAGAATGGTTTTTCCAATCCACAGAAGGTCTTACTCCTCTATTTTGGACTGACAGTGGTTCTTATTATTTATATTAGTAGTATTCTATGCAGAGGAATTTGACCTAATCTAGGTGTTACTGCTTTGGCAGGGGGGCTGGACTAGATGATTTTTCGAGGTCCCTTTCACTCCCTGGCATTCTGTGATTCTCTGACTTTCCATGGAAAATAATCAGAAATTATGTGCATGGTTGGGAATTAATTGTGCAAACTTCTCTAATGAAGTCCAAACTAGAAAGCAATAAATAATGCACATCATGACATGTCAAATTACCTCTTTTAATATTCCACAATACGTCAGAGGTTCTCTAAATTTAAACATTCTTGGAGTAGTTATATTTGCATGTGGTTAAAACAGGTTTTTTTTTTCTCATTTTAATTACCCCTTAGAGTGGCGTCCAGGTTCTACTGCACAGATCCTCTCAGACTTGGATTTAACATCCCAAAGAGATGGCAGATGGAAACGTATCAACACACTGATGCATTATAATGTAAGGAGGTGTTTCAGAGCAGTTGTTCACATCTGTTAATTGTTCTCTAGTAATAAATAAAATCTTTATTTGTTTGTAGAGGAACTTCTGTTCTGTGTAAAGAATCAAAAGAAAAACTACCTCTGGGTCTAGACTGTAAAAACCTGAGAGCATAAAAGACTAGGTCTAGACATATTGCCTAAATTCTCCTTTCAACACTCCAAAGCTCCCTGTGCCTTTGCTGGGTCTTGTATCCATATTTTCTTTTATTTCCTTTACAACTTCCTACCCTTGAGAATTATCCTTATTCTTGCTCTGCTGATAAATAGATTTTGGGTTGATCTGTTTTGTTCAACAGCCTAGTCAAGAGAGCAGATGTTGATGTTCTGTGCGGTCTGTTAGGTTTTGTACTGGGCACACTAATACTTGCAATCCATTTATCTTTCATTTGTATTTTATTTGTCCTATTGTAACAACAGGTATCCTGGTTAGGAAAGCTAGAAGTTAGTTTTCTATACAGGTGTGATTCTTCACAATAAAATCTTTTTTTGCACGAAGGGCCTTCACATTGGACAGATGAACCACTGAAGTCTTGGATGTGATTCTAGCATTTTGATTAATCTGAGGACGTGTTGATGCAATCTATTATGCAACAAGCTGGAGGGCAGTCTGCTCTGAATGACAGATCCAGTTGCCCAATAAGCCTTTGTAGGGCAGCATTTATCAGATTTCTTTTGATAGAAGTCAGGTCCAGATTTCTAACAAAAGATTACAGAAACCATAGTTTATCTGTTAAGAAAAAAGTTCAGCCTTGTTTTGTTCTTTTGCATAACAACCCTATGTTTGTATCTTTAAAGGTCCGAGATGGTGCCACACTCATCTTATCGAAAATGGGAATTTCCCAGCAGCCAGAGGATAGTCAGCAAGATGTCCCAGGGGAAAGTAAGTATTTTGGGGCTTCTCTAACTCCCAAAATGTTTGGAAGCCAAACCTACACAGAGATGGTGATGGTGATCTTGGTAGTGTTTATTGAGTGTATATGGAGCAAGATTGTAGAATCATAGAATAGCTTGAGTTGGAAGGGACCTCAAGAATTATTAAGTTTCAACCCATAGGAGAGGTGCTCCAGCCCTCTGATCATCCCAAGACAGACCCTGGGGGATACTGCTTGTCATCGGCCTCCACCTGGGCTTAGAGCCATTGACTACAACCCTCTGGCTGCAACCTTCCAACTAATTCTTTATCCACTGAATAGTCCACCCTTCAAATCCATATCTCTCCAGTTTAGAGATAAGTGAGGGATCCATGTCAAAGGCCTCGCACAAGACCAGGTAGAAGACATCAGTTGCCTTCCCTATGTCCACCAACGCCATCACTCCATCATAGAAGGCCACTAGATTAATCAGGCATGACCTTTCCTTGGTGAAGCCATGTTGAATGTTTCAGATTACCTGCTCATCCCACATGTGCCTTAACATGTCTTCTACGAGGATCTGGTGAATGATCTTCCCAGACACAGAGGTGAGATTCACTGCCTGTAGTTCCTCCATCTTCTTTTTCTTGTAAATGGGAGTGATGTTTCCCTTTTTCCAGTCACTAGGGGCTTCACCTGACAGGTATAATTTTTCAAATATGATGGAGAGTGGCTTGGCAACCACATCAGCCAGATCCCTCTAGACCCTGAAATGCATGTCATCCAGCCCCATGAACTTGTACATGTTCAGTCTCATTAGGCAGTTTCAGATTTGCTCTGCTCTCACAGTAGGGAGGAATTTATTCCCCCAGTTCCCACCAACAGGTTCAAGGATGTGAGATTCAGGGATGTGAGAAATAGGAGAATCCTGGCTGCCAGTGAAGGCTGAGACAAAGAGCTCATTGAGTACCTCAACCTTCTCTATATCTGTTGTATCCAGTTCTTGTTTATCTGATATGACACACTCTCTTTGGCCTGTCTCTTCTGGCCAATGTACCTTGTTGTTTTAACATCCATCTCCAAGTTTAGTTCCATTTGTTCATTGGCTTTCCTGATCCCATCTCTGCATGTTTGAACAGTATCCTTGTATTCTTCCCAAGTGGCACATCCTTATATTCCCCACCAGACTATATAGGGCTTATTTGTTTTGTACTACTTTCTGTACACGTGCAGTGGTTTCCTTCATCCTAGTTATAAAAGCCTGAAATAATGGAGCTTTAATTATAATTAGTGTAAGATTATATCCCAGCTTAATAGAAAGTGCTCTTAGCAAACATTTCCATTTTGTTTCTTAATGCCATTACATCTGCAGCCAAAACGTTTCAATTTTTTAAGAAAAAGATTCTCCTTTCTTCATACTTTCAAAATTTCTTCCACTTACTGAACTGAGAATTGAATGCATCTTTATAGATGAACCACAGGAGAGACCAGCTCCTCTGCTCCATGATATAACAGATCTGATATAATTTCTGTATTGCATTTCTTACAACTGTTTTGCCTTGCAGACTAGTCTCTATACATTCATAGTTTGTATTTCTCTACCATGGCAAGTGATATTTCACCAGCTACATTCACTTGGCGTTTCTAGAATGTGTTGGCTGATTTTGTTAATTCCTACGTACTATCTCTTAAAATTTCTATCATTCCTTTGTTTCAAGGGTTGCAGTCCATTGTCAGCTACTGTCAAGACTTACCTTTTAAATTTTCCTCTCTTTCATGTTATTTATACAGTTACATATGCAATAATGCATGTTGCATAAAGTTAATTCTAATGTGCTGCCTGATACAGTATGTTGGACTTCTCTGTGTGAGAGATTATGTGGTAGCTTGGAACCCATCTTCTAAAGCTTTTACCTTCCTGTGGGTATGTTCTCTAGACCAATTTCCTTTATTTCTAAACTTCTTGACAGACAACATCCACTCTAGCCTAAAATGCGCTGTGATATTAATGGAAGTATTTACTTGTAAGTTAATATTCTTTGTCATGTGATTCTTTTACATTTCAGATGTTCTGTTTCTCTTATTTTTATCCTTATATTCAGTTACTGTACACGAGTTGTGTGTTAGATTTATGGAGTGATAATTGTTGAGGTCATTATTCGTTCCGTGAAACTATTTGATACGGTTTTCAGTCTAGCACTGATTTTAAAAGCCATTGCTTCACCTAACAGTTTAGTTCCTTTACACAAATGTAGTGATCTTAGATTTCGTGGCTTCCAACAGTTTGGCAATCAGACAGGTTGGAAATAATATACCAGGAACATACATTTTTCAAGACAACTCTCAGTTGATAGCTCTACGTGTATTATTGCTATTTAACAAAAATGTGCCAACTTCCATTTCAATAGTGTTTAGTGTTGACCAAGAGAGCAGAACAGGCAGAATTACTTGCCACTTACCTTTTGCTCTTTCCTCCTGGATAGTTCCTGTTGAGACTTTATCCAGCATCCTGAATGTTCTTCCAATACCTCCACTGCTATAAACATTCTTCCAATACCTCTGCTGGTATTCACTCTAAAAAACATCAGTTTCATACAAAGGGTGATGAAGTGCAGCAAGCCAAGGAGAACAATCCTAGTCCCTCTTCAGTTTAATTGCACTGATTGCTGAGATAACTGCTGAGGCAGTAATCACCTCCACTCTGAAGAAGTGGAATAGACTAGTGAATGGAGACAGTGTGTGCTCAGCTTGCTTTGCTTTCTTAATGCTGAGACGTGTTCAGTCTCCAACTCTGGGTTCCCAGTCTTCCATCCTCCCCACATCTTTATGGCAAACAGCTAAGGATCAGACCAAGTGTTTTTCTTTTCCTTCCTCCCTTCCTCCTTTCCCCCTTCCTCTTTTCTCTTTATCTACAATTATGTCTTCAGCTATGATTCAGTACCATGACGCTCTTTGTACACACACGATCAGTATTCCAGGGTGGACTCCTTAGTTGTACATGTACTGTTCTAAATTGTAAAGGAGAAGCAGGCTTCTGGGGACAATGCTGTCACATAAGGGCTTTCATACATGAGAGAAAAAATATGTTGAGACAGCTCAGATCCCAAAGCATAGAATGAAGACAGCTTCCACCTTGTTTCTTCTCCGCACCCTGTCTCGTGCAGTGGTGATGTACAAAATATGGGAAGATAGCATTTCATGCCAGGCTAGCCTATTTTCATTAGTCCCTAAGGGTCTTCAGAGCTAGCTGGTGCCAACTTGTTCTCTCATTATACAACTAGTGCAAAGGGAGAGACGCTGACAGCGACAGTGACTTGTGAGATGCTAAGTGTATAAAACGCAGAGGAGAGGATCAGAGGCTTGCCCTCCCACACACACGCATTTATATGACACAGTCAGGGATTTACGGGGTTGGAATAAATAGAAATCCTATCCCTGCTCTATGAATAAGTCTTGTGACGATGTGGTTTTCCTTTTATCCAGCCTCATTAACTTGCACCTTTTGCATTGAGCAATGTCAGCTGAAGCCATTGACTGTCTGCCAAAGCAAGAGGCTTTGCACAGAACGAAAATGTAAAACCATGTTCAGAGATGTTCCTCTAAAACCTGGCATTGCTTCCATGCTGCTTTTGATTCACAGCTTCTAGCGGGAAGACACTGGAAGCTGGTGGTTCTGACAAATTGAATGCAGAATTCTTTTCTTCATAATAACATAATAAATGCAATTACTAATTTGTATCAAGATGGAGAATGGTTCTGATGATTTTGTGCTAGAATTTCTGTACAGAGCTATAAGCCGAAACAGAGTGTTCTGTTGAAAACTTACTGTGGGGGCTGTTTTGTGTTTTTTGGTGGTTGGGTGTTTTAGGGTTCTTTTTTTTTTCTATTATTCCGCTTTAGAATAGCCAGAGGGCTGCAGATCAGAAATGCTGATGAGCAGATGTGTGTAGGCCAGCCCTTCCTTGGAGTGTTGCATTCCCAGGAGAGGATGGGGCGAGCTCACCGTGAGTCGTGCAGTAGGGGGAGGCTGCACTGGCTGTCAGTGGCTCGCTTGCCTCCACCAGCTTTCCATCAGATTCATTCCATTCTGTATTGGCCAAAGAATTCACAAGGGCCAAGAAGAAGCCTTCAGGGGGGGAAGGCAGTTGATCCTGTGGGCACAGTCCTCTCCTCGCTTATGGCTTGTTGCATCACAAGGCTGCTACAACCAAAAAAGACAGTGTCCCCCCCTCTGTTTCACTTTCTTCACCTCCTAGCTTTCCAGTAGGGAAAGTGTTATCTCCCAGAAGTGTGATCTCCTCTTAGCAACCATACTGCTAATATGTCTCATTGCCCCTGTTTTGCATTTGTCTTCCTCTTTCTGGCTGCTATTTTTAGCAATGAAGTGGGATCTTTGCATTACAGAAGTTCATCCAGTGGAACTGTGTTCTCTCTAAGCCCTACTTTCCTATGAAATAACTACTATTTCTCTAGTAGCTGATTCTGTTGTTGCTGAACAAACACGTGCTGGATTAAGCCATATGCGAGGGCAAGAAATCTCAGTGAAATCCCCTTCGGTGTGTTCTCTTCATTCCAAAGCAAAATCAGGCTATGCACTATTATGAGAGCAAAGAGGATGTATTCCTTTGAATCAGAGGGCGAAGTAGAAGTGTACCAACCAACATAGTTCTTCTGTGTGTGATTCCATCTATTTCTTTATAAGAGTAAATGGCAGGCACTGCAAAAGAGAAGCCAAACTTCAGGCCCATCAACAGATCTTACTGACAGACTGTACTGACAAACAATTACTATGAGTGGTATCAATTGTGAACTCACAACTACTCAATTACTTCAAAATAAAATGAGAGCTTTTTTTGCTTTCTTATTTCATGCATGTGAACTTCCAGCTCAAATTATGAACTTCCAAAGGACAACAGTATTAACTGTCCAATTTTCACTTGGCTAAAAGATCCACCTGGTCATAAAGAAGAGGCTGCATAGCTAATACTTTTCATGAGAATATATAAAATAGATGCTAGGATTCAAGTAGAAGCATTGGCTTTGCCAGATTACATATTAATTTCATTTTCTCTCTGATATAAAATATTTAACATTAATTTAAGGTACATCTGATAAATTTAATGTAGTTGTTGCAGAACTTAGTTAAAAACTATTATTGCCAACAGTTTGAAAGGACAAAAATCATGCAATTAGAAACTGATATTTTCTGCTGTAACTGTAATTCATTTACATTATACACATATATTAAAGCATAAAACTTGGCAGTATTGCAAAATAGTTTGTGTAACAGGGCTGAATCACTGTTTTTATGGGAAAAATAACTTTCACATTTCTAAGACACCAATGATTTAAAATGCACTGATTCAGTAACCTCCACTGGAAAAGCATCATTGATTTTTGGTTCTACACCATGCAGAAATATTAACTCAAAGTTCAGGATTTAAAGGAAGGACAAGTAAAAACAGGAGATTTGAAGCTAAGTTTGTGATGCTGAATCTTTGTTCAAGGACTATTAATTGCAAGTTTAAACTCGCAGTTGGTATTGTATCTCACTCTCAACAGAAGATTCTCAAGCAGAAGGAGGTTATCTGAATATTCACATACTGTTGGTAATTAAACTGTGCTTAAGGTCCATATGCATGGCCAGGCCATGGATATGTTATAACCATCCAGGTGCTTAATCCTGTTTCTTATATATGGCAGCAGACTTGGTGTGACAAACACATTTAGAAAAATCTTATTCTAATGGATTTTGAATTTGCTGCCTGCAGTTGTTACTTCTGCCTGCTTAAGGTCATGCCCTCCTACTTCAGTGTTACTCTTTCAGTTATGTATTACTGAAAATTTAGTACTTGGACTGTTAGAGAGGAACCAAGTAATCTGGATCCTCTTGGCAAAAAGAAAGGTACGCCAAGAATGGAGTGCAAGGTTCTTACAATTACTGATGTGCATGACTATTTTCAGAATTATTTCTGAGGGAGATTTTCTTGTAATTATTGCAATTACTGTTTCTAGGGCATGCGCTTCTAGAGGATGAAAATAAAGTCTGGCACCTCGTCCGGCCAGTAGATGAAATTGATGAAAGCAAATCGAAGAGAGGCAGCGTGAAAGAAAAAGAGAGAACCAAAGCTATTACAGAAATCTACCTGACAAGACTTCTCTCTGTGAAGGTAAGGGTCAGATGTTGCACTGTTACACCATGCTTCTGGAGATTTTGATGTACTGCTGAAGAAAGTGATGCAAGTATTAGTCATGCTTTCAGCTGAAATTTTCAATATCCGTGTCATGTACATACAGGCTGTGTTCAGAGCTTCAAGTGATTAATATGCCCCCAAGAACGTTACTGGGAAAAAATTTAACTCCATGTGAAAGCTGAGAACTATAATTCTGTGTGAGTTAAATGAGAATTTTTCTTGCAAGACAAAGATGGATATTCTCTTCTATGCCACCTGTTTAGACAATATTCTGCTGGATTTTATTTTGAACAAAATGCTTTATGTAATGCTTCAGAGCCATTTGTTTCCCTGTTCTTTTTTATTTCCAGTGCTGCAGTTTAATCTAGGAAAAATAGTAAAAAACTTTTCAAATAGCGATAGTCCTTTTAGACTGTTTGTAGTGCTTATATTACAGAATGGATCACAACCAAAATAATTGAACTAAGCATTCCTCCCTACTGAAGGAACTTAGGATAATGTATTTAATGACTCCTAAACCAAATTCTTTGTGAAAATGGGAGTAACCTGACTCCAACTAAGGCCATTTGACCAAGTGGCAAAGTGAATATGATGGAAAGTCTATGGATGTATATGGATGACGGTGACTTGAGGCCAGCAAAATGCCTGTATCCCTCTGTTCTATTAATAAACACTTTGTGGCCACCCCTTTTCTGTTCTCAACAGCCAATTTTGTAGATTGTTGCTGGTCTGGAGTTTTACTGACTCCCACAGAGATGGTGAGTGGTTGGGATCACAGGTGCCGGTGCAGCCCCAGGACTGTTGATATGTCTTTCCTGCCTGCGTGACCAGCATGAGGCTTTAGAGCTCATCACGCCCTTTATCCCTGCCCTGCCCTGCCCTGTGTGTGGCAACTGCAGTGATGAAAAAAGAGAGGATGCAGCCCTTCTTCCGTGTCTCTAGGGCCAACTGGGCTCACTGAGAAGAAACTACATGTGGCCTCAACAAGGTCTTCTCTAAAACACAGGGACAGTCTCAGAAGTGATAGTCTGTAAGGTCCAGGCAGGTGTAAGGATCCAGTCAGAAGTGCAGCCCCCTCGGAATGCTTCACCCCTCACACTTGGTAGAGTTTGTAAAGCTGGACATCTGATGAGATCCAAGTGCTTTCCATAGCAAGACAAAAGGTACTTTTTCCTCCCAGTCTTTATCTAGAATTGTTTTACTGGTACATGATACTCTGGAGTCTGAGAAAATGGAGGTGGGAAGCTGCAAAACAATTAGAAAATTGGTAACTATTTTTACGTGTACAATGACCTTGAATTGTATATCTTTTGTGTACTTAGCTACTGGGTTCTGCTATATTTCTGTCAGGCAGAAAGCACAGCTTTCTGTGTTAGCCTTTAGACTACAGCATAAAATTGTTCTCTAAAAGGTCTTTACTGTTTGAGCTGTTTGCAAGTTCATTGCATTAAGGAGTTTTTGTCATTGGACAGCATCAGCACTCAGAATTGAGAGCCTTCAGTGACTGCAACTGCATTAAAGGATGGTGCTGAGGCCTGTAATGCAAAATTTGTTTTTATTCACTTTAAGGGAACACTTCAGCAGTTTGTAGATGACTTCTTTCATAGTGTGCTCAACTCAAACCATGTAGTGCCACCAGCTGTGAAATACTTCTTTGACTTTCTTGATGAGCAAGCAGAAAAACATGACATCAAGGATGAAGATACCATTCACATCTGGAAAACAAACAGGTATGAACACAGTAGGGAAATGGGAGTGTAATTGACAAGTATGTGCTGGCACTAACACCACAAATCAAAGTAAATCTCATTTGTAATTCTCAGAATCATTTTAATTGAGATAATATGATCAAAAGGATTCCCTGTCTACAAGTTGCAAAAATGAAAGTCACCTACCTACAGGAGAGTAGTAGGCAGAAGGGACAAGAGTTGCCCGTCAGTGCACAAAATCTAAGAAAATCTTGGTCAGGTAGTTTCTCTAACCACACAGGCATCTCCTCTTGCTGTTCTGGGGTACTCAGGATTCTTCTCCAACAAGCTTTTCTTATTTTTCTGCCAGAGTCGCAAAGGCTTTGTTTCCAGACATGGAAAATAGACAAAAGACAGCATGTGTAATTGTTGAAATATAAAATTAAGTTTCAGAGTAGTGAGAAGATCAAAATGCAAAACCCATATTTACTTCCATGTGACTTGTTTGTTGTAGAACATTTATTGTGCAGAAGATTTTTTTTTTACCTTTTTCCTTTCTGCACAGCTTGCCTCTTAGATTCTGGGTAAACATACTGAAAAATCCCCACTTCATCTTTGATGTTCACGTTCATGAAGTAGTGGATGCTTCCTTGTCAGTCATTGCACAGACTTTCATGGATGCTTGCACAAGAACAGAGCACAAATTAAGCAGAGTAAGTAATTTGCATTCTACATCCTGATACATTCATGCCTGACAAGACACAGGGCATTGTCCTAGACAATACCAATTCTCTGAGAAGATACAGCAGTGATAGTTTCCTTCTAGTTTTATAATGAAGTTAGCATTTCACCACTTAGCAGGTTGGTGAGCCTGTCATTGTTACTGTGTAGTCTGCCAACTGATAGTCCCAAAAAGCAGAAAATATCAACTCCTTTTAAAAAAAAGCAAGTTTAAGAACTGATTATTACATGTCCACCATAATTTAAAATCATCTTCCAGTGATATATTTGTCAAACCCAACAATAATGCTGTATTTAAAGACAGTCTTCCCCTTGTATCAAAGTAAATGTTCATAATGATAATCATGTTAATAATAAGCATTGGAATGTTAAAATCTGCAAAGCTCAAGTGCATATGATTAGAAAGGCTTGACCTTAGCTTCTTGACTTCATGTTGCCTCTCAGAATGGTTCATAAATCAACCAAGTTTCTATTATGATTTTTTTCAGGATTCTCCAAGTAATAAATTACTTTATGCGAAAGAGATCTCTAATTATAAGAAAATGGTGGAAGAGTAAGTATAAAGAGACTTTTCATGTTGATGCAGAGTTGTTAGAATGTTAAGCTTTGCAAATACACTCAGTAACAGGAAAAGTGAATGCTGAGGCAAAGTCAGCAATCAAAAGTTAAAAATTTTACACCTGAATGTTAAAATGTTCCCTTGGCAGCAGTGTTCACAGCATTGAAATGAAGTGTCATTGTGACCCAGTGCAACAGATGGATAGAGTTACCTGGGGAGAACACAGTGCTATTCTCCATGAGGACTGTTCTTACCCACTGATCTGTCTAACCACTGCTGCACTTCCATAACTGAGTAGGAATCAAATCCTGAAAACATTTTCACAAAAACATTATTTCTATCCAGTCTCTGACGTTATTCAATTACTGATTTGAGAATTCTATGAATACCGCCGAAGATCAGCTGCAGGACACAACTCTTACTAACTAGTTACTTCAGAAGTTTTAAGACCTGAAATAATCATCATCGGAGTAATAAGTAGATTCCTGTCCTGTGCTACGGCCCTGTGCAAGCAGGTGCAATCTGCCTTTCTTACAGGGATATCAAGTACTAATGACTGCTGGGAGATTGAGGAACTAAGTGAGTCACTGGTCTGCTGTGGTAGAACATCTGCACTATTAGGAAAGCTGTTTAAAGTAATTGTGAAATCAAAATACAAAATTACCAGGAAACCACAGTGTATTTCATCTAAGTGAAAGTTTGTTTTCATTTGTTGCAGTTACTACAAAGGTATTCGTCAGATGGTACCAGTTAGTGACCAAGATATGAATACCCATCTAGCAGAAATCTCTAGGGTAAGAATGAATTAAGTTTCCTTGTCCTGAAATTGAAGCCAAGTATAGCACTGTTTTTGTCTTCTCGTTCTAACTCCACAAGTGGGGTTTTTGTGTATATAAGCATCAAAGGGGTTTTTGTGTATTTAAGCATCAGATGAGCTACTTCATATCTCTTTGAAAAACTCCTGCTTGGTGTAGTACATTTGGGCTTTTTGAAGTGTTGATTAGTGAATGGAATCAAGAATGGTTATCATCACAAATCTCTTTGAGTGATGTAGATGCCAGTGCAGAGCATTTGGATTTTTTCCCATCTGTTGTGGAAAAATTACAACACTGTTGAAAGGTATTTTCTCTTTGCAGCACATGGGTGATTTTTAGCATTGACTATACTGAAAACAAGTACATAACAAGTAGCGACTGGGTTCAGAGTGCTACCACATCAAGAATTTGACTCCAGAAATGAAAGGGAATTCACATACGTTAAGTACAGCACATTTTAGTGCTGTCTATATGAAAGCAATATTTTTACTTTCACACAAGAAGCTCATCATGAGCTTCCTTAATTTGCACCTTTTCTTTTCACAGTATAGGCTCTCTGGTGCTACCTGTAATGGAGGAGAGCAGAGGAGGTTGGTTGCTAGCTGCAGGCTCCAATTGGAGACTTAGGGAGCAAAATCTGCTTCATTCTTGCAAAAGCCTGTCTGCTGTGATGCTCAGCTTAGCTAGACCAGGCCCATGCTTTCAAAGCACTTGATTCAACTCATAGAACCTGCAGAAGCCCTTGCCAATCTGAAAGAGATACTGTACACAGTGACTGGTTTGTTTACTTGCTTATGTTATTTCAAGAGCCCTACATATAAAGAAATGTGGGGATTCTTGTGGTTTGTTTATTTCAATGCCCTTAGGACCTAGCATTTTGCAGATCATCCTCAGGAGAATATTTCTATTTTCTGTCAGTTACTGCAAAGCTCACATGTGGTGACATTTCATTTTCCAGTTCATTTTATTTATTTAAAAAATGATAATTAAAAGTAACTTCAGAAGAATGTTTTAAAATCAGCATAATATGTTGATCATTTCTAATTACACTATAAATTATGATAAAAGTAGGTGTGAAAAGACTGACAGAACATTGCAAATTTTGACCAGCTCTGGAAGTGACTTTGTAGGATAAGAAAAGATGGATGTTTCTCTGCTGTTTTATGGCTTGGATACTCATTTATGCCAGAAGCTTTTTTGCCATTCTTTATTTTCTTAACTAGTTTAAAAATCTAAAGTCTCTGCAATTCAAGAGACTTGAATTCTGTACATGTGGATGAAAAGCATCTGTTTAGTACAGGCAGAGTGCAGTCAACGTGTAGTTAAATGTCATGAGGGTAATGAAGGGAGAGGTAATGGAAGGGATAATTCTTGCTTCATTTTAAAGTCCCTTTTTCTTTACCTTTCTGTCTCTCTTCATTCCATCTTCAAGACTCAAATGGCTTTTTCCAAATATACAAGCATTTGCTCTCTTGATGGGTTACACCTTTCTTGTAGTGAGGTATGAGCTACTACTACAAACAGTTGTAAAGAGCTGAAGAAATGATTTCAAACAAACACAGCGGTGACAAAACCAATGTGTGGTATTTCAGCAGTACGCAGATTACCGAACACTTCAGTTACACATACCCATGCTCTTAACAGATGTTACAGCTGTAATCTGCGGTTTGACAAAGTTCAAAATATTTTCCACGTCCTGTGTTGGAGCTGCAGACAGGCTGGAAAAACAACAGTGGGAAAATCTAGATCTCCAAATCACCAGACAAAAGTTTTTTCACTCCTTTTTCCTCCACTTAGCAGGAGGTAAAAGATGCAGAACTTGAATTTGAAAATGGGACTTTCTGCTGTATCCAACAGTCATGTGTGTGCATAACTTTCAACTGTCTGTGATGCAATTTTGACATTTGCTGCTCATGTGTGTTGTTTAACAGGCACATACTGATTCCTTAAATACGCTTGTGGCTCTACACCAACTCTACCAGTACACTAACAAATACTATGATGAGGTAAGAGGTGGGGTTTCTTTTCTTTTATATATAATAACAATAAAAAGTTACAAAGGCTAACTTTCTCTGGATAATGAGGTAAAAGCAATGTTGAACAGAAAGCTCTAACTCTGTGGTTAGACACATTCCTTGGAAATTACAATGCTGAAGGGTATGTTCTTAGAAATGAAGTTTCACTATGGGGTATCCGATTTTGTCAGTGATTGCTTAATGAGATCTGAAAGAAAAATAGATTTAAAAATCCTTTCTCTTGAGTTCTACCATCCAAATTCCAAGAATTAGAAAATAAAAATGTCACCAAGCACAAAGCAGTCGTAAGAGCCTTTGTCAGGTTTTAAGTTTTTTTCTATTAGGAACAATCCATTAAACTTGTTTTGTTTCTAGGAATGGGACGGTGCTTTTTTCATTAGTTAAGATGCACTTAGAACCTCCATGTGTGCTGTTGCCCCCAATTTGCCTTGCCAAATGAAGTGCCTGCCCAAGGTAAACCGCAGCAGAACAACTGCTGAGAATAGTCAGATTCAAAAGGAGGCTCACAGATTCAGTCCAGTGTTTCTTGGATTCTTCAGGCCCTGAGGAAAGGGGGACAAAGAATATCCCAGTGTCGCTGGGCTGTGGCTATGGCTCTCCAAATTTAATCTGAAAACAAAAAGAGAGAAGGAAACTTTTATCCAAAGGTTTCCATGGAAATGAATGCCTCCAGAAAACTCTTAGAATTAAATCAAAGCGAGTAAGAACAGATGCTGAATCAAAAAAAAAGAGTGCAGCACATGTGAGTTCGCTTCAGTTTGTCTTGCACCTCAGCACAGTTCTTGTTTTCACTTAAATATAGCACTAAAGGCAGCGAGTCTCATACCCAGCTTCACTGCAGCTGCTTCCTACAGCTTTAAAACAGACATAAGCAAGGAGAACCAGCTCATCTTGAGACATCTTGCAATGGGGTTAGTAGGAAAAGTGTTTGGAGATTCACTGGCAAACTTAATGGCTTTGATTTAAATATCCCCAGAACTGAGTAAACTTACTTTCAACATATTCCAGAATATCTGGAAAAAGCGGACTGGGCTGCATCAGAAGAGTAGTGGCCAGCAGGGAAAGGGAGGTGAACCTTCTCCTATGCTCTGCCCTCATAAATGCCCACCTGCAGTACTGCGGTCGGCTTTGGGGAGCCTAATATAAGGATATGGACCTGTTGGAGTAGGTCCAGAAGAGGGCCAGAAAGATGATCAGAGACTGAAGCATCTCTTCCATGAAAGCAGGATGAGAGAGTTGGGATCATTTGGCTTGGAGAAGAGCAGGCTTCAGGGTGTCCCGATAGCAGCCTTTTGGTGCCTGAAGGAGGCTCCTCCAGGAAGTGCATGAGAGGAGAAGGGATAGTGATTTTAAATTAAAAGAGGTTTAGATTAGGTATCAGGAAGAAATTCTTTACTCAGAGGGTGGTGAGGTACCGGCACAAGTTGCCTAGAGAAGCTGTGAGTGTCCCATCCCTGCAGGTGTTCCACACCAGGTTGGTGGGGCCCTGGGCAGCCTGAGCTGGTGGGTGGCAGCTGCCCGTGGCAGGGGCTGAGGCTGGGTGGGCTTTGAGGTCCTTCCAACCCAAGTCATTCTATGATCTCTGTGGCCTGATCCGTTATGGAAACACCCAAAGAACCTGTGTGACAGATGAACCATAAAGCCCTGCTTCTCCCACACTCCCTTGTCCCTGCTCCCTGCCGCGGTTTTGGGATTCTCCAATTTGGAGGCTGGCACAGATGGCGCCTGCTCTCTGCGCAGCCATTAATTGGAGGTTATCAGGGGCGAGGCAGCAAACAACAAAGCAGAGCTGCAGCCCTTTCTTTTGCATACATCACTGTACAACAACGAGATGCCTCTGATCAAAAGGCTGCTAATTCAGAGTTAGGGAGATAATACGTCAAGAACTATTCAGGAAAATTAATTGAGCTTATTTATTTTCCATAAAAATGCTTTAATTTGCATAAATTGGAACATTTTGCGACGGCCCTTATCTTTGTTGCTGAAGCAGCGGCTGCAGCACGCGCTGCACCCTGTGCATCTCTGCAGGGCTTGACAGTGACTAAGTGGGTAAGCTCTAATTGTCCACATTTATGTGAAGGTTATATTCACCAGCAGAGATAATCATGAATTATTTAGTCTCGATTTGAGGCGTTACAGCTAGGTGTAAATGTTTAAATTAGGGGAACAATATCAAATTAAATTAGGCCCTATTTAAATACCGTAATAAGAGTTTATTAACTCTGTCTTGTAAAAATGTTTTCACGCTTTGAAAACAAATCCATTAAAATAATGATTTCTAAACAAATTTGCTCCAGCATTTGAAAGTCTAATGCCATACCAGTCCTCAAAAGGGAAATTATTAGCTGGATTTGTCAATAAAGCACACGGAGCAGCAGGAACCGCAGGTAGCGACAAGCAGACTCTATTTCTCCAGCCCTTATATTTGCCAACTTAGGTAGTATTTAAACACAGCTAAAGGTGTCTGCTTGCTGACAGCAGCTGACTTTTATTAATAAAGCCGGCTGTAGAAAAAGAACAGTTTTGCCATACCGTGCATTCCCCTAATGGAGAAATCTAATAGTTGGTGGAAGAGTTTCCCTAAAGGATGGTAGGAATGAAAACCTTTCAAAACCTTTGAAATTTGATCTCGAGAAGCCCTTAAAAACTCTATTTGAAGAAAAACCTTCTCATAACAGCTGACCTTTTCGTCTCTCGTTTTGAAATCCCTCGTGTCTTGGCATCAGGCCTTCCTGCACATACCCTTCCTGCACATACCCTTCTGCACACTCTCTTCCTGCACACACTCTGTACGGCGGGGCTGTGTGAGGGCTCTGTGCTTCCTGAGCCGTGAGCTGCTCAGCTCTACCTGGAGAAGCAAAGGGGGGCTGGCAGCTCCACAGCATTGTGACGGCCCATCTCCTTCATCTCACTGCACACAGACTGCCAACGCTTGGTATTGCCCTCACCTGTGCTACCCAGGAGCTGCTCATAGCCAAAGCCAATGGGGAGAGCTTTAATTACTGCTGGTAAATGACCCTCAAGCCTTGTAGGGTGGTCTGCAAGTAAAACTCTTACCTGGCTGTAAAGGCAGTGTTTCTGATGTTTCTCCCGCTGCCCACTCCACCTTGCAATGCAGTATTTCAAAAGATAAAGTGTTATCTATTAATTTTCTTGGATCCCAGCGTAATGCAAAACATTGTGGTAACTTAGATAAAATACCAGGGGCTGACACTTTTACTGTCTTCGTGTGTAAAACAGAATGTGGGACCCATAGGAGGACCTTATCTTCAGCACCAGGTGAATGCAAAAGGCTTGGAAACCAAAGCAGTGTCAAACACTTGGTCTGGGAACGGCGTCATATATTTTAAGCTAAAGGATTCTAAACATTCTGTGTTTACTTCTTCCAGATTATAAATGCACTTGAAGAGGATCCAGCTGCACAAAAAATGCAGCTCGCCTTCCGTTTACAGCAAATAGCAGCTGCATTAGAGAATAAAGTGACTGACCTTTGACTCGAAAGCCGCAATAAAGAAATCTGATCTGAAGATGTTCAAATTCATTCTTCCTGTTAAGGAAATAGTGTTCTATTTTTTAATGTGTAATTACAACTTTAAATGAAAGATTTCATGTTTTTTTGATAGCAGAGGTGTAATGTAAAAAATTTTTACTGTAAATTATGCTTCTAATTAAAAGCTGTGTTGTGTGTAAATGAATCTTCTGTGGGAAGGAGAGTCCTTTGGCTGGGGGCAGGGTGGGGGGTGGAGGAAGGCGAGTCTGTAGTTCAGTTAATTGCATAGAATCTAAGACATCAGCATTTAGAATTCATTATGCAAGTAAACTCAATATTATAGCATCCTTTATATTTTAAGCAATATTTGTACTAGGAAAGTAACAACATATTCAGAGAACCATGCAATATCCCCTTTTATTTTGATAACTGGAAATTGACTTCCACATAGCTCCAAAACTTCGTCTGTGCCCATAATGAACGTAGTAAACAACGTGTCCAATTTCTCTGTGAGATCTGCCAATGGGTTTTGCTGTCACACACAGTTCTTAGGTTAATTATTTATGCCCACAGTAAAGCACAGTACTGCGCCCAGCACGGTTGGCTGCAATGGAGGTGACAGTGATGCCGTGGCTGTGAGGAGGGTTCTTCTGATAGAGGATCTCTTTTGGTTCAGAAATCACCGCAAAGGAGAATTAGTCCTTAAATCTTCACAACCCTTTGTTATCAATGTGAGTTTAATGATATATGCTAATGTGCCTTACTTGTACTAATTCTGTGAATCTGATGAATGGTTTTGTAAAAAAGAAGCAGATCAGAAAAAGAAATATTTATGTGCTATTGAATGACTTTTTGTGTGAAAACCATGACCAGCAGAATGCTTGTAATTAGCTGCTTGCCGAGAGTGTGTTGTTTAACATGATCTGATTATGTATAATATCTTATTTTAGAATGGTTCTGATGATTTTTTTATTTGGAACTGTCCTAGAATTACCATCACTTGTTTTTATTGTATTTGTGATGTAAAATACTAGTACGATATTGGAAAACCTGTATGCCCACGTGTTGAAAACCACTCAGTTTTGAGCCTTGGAATTCTGCGTCTGATCAAAAACACCATCAACCCATAGCAAAGACAGTTAAAATCACTAGTGGGAAGTGTGCGCTTACAACGTATGTAAGCTACGTACAAATCCAAAAGCTCGGTACGCCTTCTTCAATTGCTGTATTGCACATCAGAGATCTTCGTTCCCTTTTGTCTCGCCAGCGTTGGCAGTGAAGTAGCATTTTAGGGAAGCGCTGCCATCAATGTGAGTTCACTCCCTGCCCTGCCCAGCGCCCACCACCAGCCTCGGCCGCTGACCCCGGCTGCTGCATGGCCATAAGGTCGGCTCTACTGTTGGCTGATTTGTTTTTTTTCTTTTCGGAAAGCTTCCTGGTATTTGTCAGTGAATCTTCCCACCAGCTACAGAAATGGGAAGCCTCACCAATGCCAGTCTGGCGGGCTGAGAGGGCTTTTGTTTTTTGGTTTTTTTTTTGTACTCGACTTGTTGCATTTGCGTATTACTGTTCCTGACCTTGCCTGGGCTGTAAGTTATTGTACACTGTGTAGGACTGAGGTACATGACTGCTACATAAAGCTGCTTTGCCAGCTACTTCTTCATCAACAAAAGCATCTTAATTTCATGGCTAATCTGTTTCTTTGTCATTATTTGTAAATCCTGTTAATTGTAAATCAAATACAATGTTGGTTTTTTTTCCACTAAGTGTCACGGGATCATTACTGAAACTGGGGGGCGGCTGCTGGGTCTGTAATGCTTCCTCTGGGGCTGATGGAGCAGCAGCGCCCGTCAGTCTGCGGTTGGTAATGGATGAGCACGGCGTGTCCCGCAGATGGTGTGGCTGACGTCACACCCCTCGTATGGGCATTTGCTCTGAAAAATGAGAGTCCTCTTGAGAAGAGAGGATGTGTTCCAGCATCCCGTAGCAAGGCGTCTTCCTGCCTGACAGCAACCCTATCCGAAAGTCACCTGAAACGCAGCTCAGGGGCGTCCCTCCAGAGGGAGCAGGAAGCCCTGGAAGGAAGGAGGGCTTGTGGGGGGAGTGCCATGTGCCCCCACCATCACGGGCCTGATGCAGAGCAGCTGTGGGTGGGCAGGAGCTGCCCTGGGCAGTGGCAATGCTGCCAATCCTTCCCACCTGTGAGATGAGCCAAGTGTTTGCCTGCTGCTGCTGTGTGCAAGATGCGAGGCGGACCCACCGGTCACTCTGTGCCTTTTGCCCTTTTTTCACATCATGAGAGAAATTTGCAGGCATTGGGCACTAAAGCACAGGAAGCTTAGGGGCCAATAACTGTGAGCAGCTGCAGCTACAAAGGGGACTTTGGTTTCTGTAAGTCTCCTCTCCTGAAAGCACAGAGTCGGAATTTGAATGGATACAAGCTGTTATATTTTATTTTTTTGCCTTTTGGCTACATTTCTCCTGTGCTTGTTTTTCCACTCTGGTGCCCTGTTTTGTCCAGGCCTAGTTTTTGGCTTCAGTTTTCCCTGCATTTCAGCAATCTGATTCTTAAATGTTTCATGCTCCTCCTCTGATTTCTGCTGCTCCTGCCATCTGGCTCATCTGCAAGATAAAAGAAAAAAGCCCACTGGGGGTCTCCTTCCTTTTCATCCCCTCTGCAGCCCCTCTGAGGAGCTCTTCTTTGGGCCCAGGAACCTTCTCTCTGCACAATAGGAGCCACAGTGGCAGCTGGGGACAAAGCTGTCCTGCTGGGACACCCACCCACCCTGGTGCAGGGCAGGGACTGCCAACACCTCCCCCAGCTCTGAATCCCACTGCTGAGTTCGCCATCTCCAAAGCCACGGGGCTGTGCTGCTTGCTCCCTGCCTGCAAACAAGCAGGTAGAATTCTCAGCTGATGGAACAAGGTCCATGCTTCCAGTCAGTAACTTGATCAGTTTACTTGCTAATCCTGGGTGCCAGGTTTCCCTCTGATATATTCCTAGATCTTCTTCCAAAGCTGCGCCTTCTATGTATTTATGAACATGTGGTATGGGCAGAGGACCCCTCGGCCAGCTTGTGTCCGTAAGGCACCACGCTTCAAGGGATGGCTTTTGTCATTGCTCTGTCACATTGCCAGATGTGAGCCTCCCATCCTGCAGACGGCTGTGCTGGGTGCGTGGTCAGCCCGCTCAGGCTGAGCTGTGTCCATTTGCACTCTCTAAAACCAGATTTTCTGGCAGCCTGAAGATTGCTGGAGCCATCACTATAAACAACAAAAAAATTGTATGGGGAATTCGGGAACTCAAACTGAAGTTCATCCATTCCCAAATTCCCAAACTCTTGTTACATGGGAGATTATTTTTTAGCCAGCTGTGTAACGATTTGAAATGGCTCCGAGCTTGAATTTCAGCTGCCCTGGACTCACCAGCACTGATGAGATTTTTGTGGTCGGCCCTTTGCTGGTGCAGCTGCTCAAGCAGTGTTATTAACAAAACCATTTTCAGTCATATTATGCCCTGGCACTATGGGCTCACTTGGCCTAAAATCTCTGAAAGTGATCCAGAAATCTTCCTTTCGCACACTTCCTGCAGCCTCAGCACCTCCATTTACTGCACAGCTTTAAGGCTCAAGCCAGGTTTCCCATGTATACGTAGGCTCATGTTGGAATGAGAACTTCCTTTCCAAAAAATGTTATTGTGAGGAAAGATAGCCCTGTCTTCAGACTTTACCCAAGTCTATCGTATTCTCTTAGGAAAAAAAAAAAAAAAATTATAGGTTTGGGTTTTTTAGGTTGGCTCTCTGTTTCTTCCTCTATCTGTGGACAATCTGCCAGAGCCATGAGGTAGCCAACTTTGCAGACGTCAAAAGGAAGATGTCTGCTGCCATTATTCTACCAGCTCTGAGTCCCACTGCTGAGTTCGGCAGAGTCCCCTGGTATTCTGGTTAACACTCAGTTGGGCTGCAGTTTGGCAATGTGAGTCACTGGAGTTGTTGCACTGGAGATGTCAGCACCGAGGGCTTTGTGAGTTGCTTTCATCCTCACTCCCAGCTCAGCGCAGTCACACTCAGATCCTGAAGCTCCCCACAACACAAGCTCCTCTGCTCTTCAGCTCTGTCTGGAGCATGGAATTCTCTGGAGAATGAAAGACAACAGCACACAGAAGCTAAAATGGTCAGAACTTCTGTCCCCTCTGTACTTGCCCGGGTTATGTTTTTGTCTTTTTTATTTTGAGAACTCTCCTGCCATTGATAATGAGGAATTTGAAAGGTACACTTGTAAATGAGGTTCCATCTTTTGGCCATCTGCTTTTACTAGCATTGGTCTCGGTGAAGCTTGAAAATGGTGATGGAAGTCTTGCTGTTTGTTTGACAGTCCCTGCAGAACAGAAGGAAGAGGGACTCTCTTGACCCACAGGAATCAGAACATTCTTAATTTTTTTTCTGTTTCTTCAAATTGTAGCCCCTTCAGGTTCAATGGCAAGGAATATCTCTCCATCAACAAGAAATGAAAGTTGCTTTTCCTATGCAGGCTTGTAATGGCCATCTGGGCTACGAGAGATCAGTGCCCTCGCACCACTCCTTTGGATCCAACTTCCATCTTGTCTGTGCACACTGCTTGCTGCAGGGTATCATTCCCAAAGAAGACAAAAATCCCACTACGGTTCATAGTCAGGCAATCAAAAGCTGCTTAATTTATCCACGTATTCCTGATTCTTTGCTGCTTTTCAGATAATTGCCATTTGAACCAGAAGAGAGTTTGAGTGGTTTCCTTCTTCTTTTTTGAGTTTTCAAAGCACCTATGTGTCTCAGTGGATTGAACACTTCAGAAAGAAACTGTTTCTTTGGCGGGACAAAGGACAATAGCTCTGGTACAGCTGTATATGGCTTGTCTTAAAAAGAAATAAAAATCCCACCACGAACCACACACTGTGTTTTTGAAATCCTTTATTCAGTGCTCTAATTCTGAACAATGTTTTTGGCTTATTTAATTCTCTGCAAAATTGAATGTTGAACAAAACTCTTTTTTTTCTCCTTTTAATCTACTGTAATAAGAAAGGAGTGAAATGAAAAATGTATTCCTGTGATACCCTTAATCTTTCCTCTCCTGCGGCTCTGCTCCTATTCAGTAAGAGATCATACTTGCTGGTTGCAGGGCCTGGATGCCAATCCATGGGATGAGAAACAAACCAAAATCCATGTTTCCTGCAGTTGCATGTGGGCCCATGGCAATGCTCACAATAGTAAAACTGCCTCAAGGACATTACTTGGATTTTCATTGTTGAGGGCCTGGCTGGTTTCCTCATCCTCCTTCACGTGATCCTGCTTCATGAGGGTCTTTACCTTGTGCTCCAGTGGCTCTCGCTGGAACACAGCTCAGCATTCCACTGAAAGCCCAAGGAAGGAAACAATCACTGCCTGGATTATCCACGCGCTTTTCATTCTCAAAGTGTCCCTGCGGGCACCCAGCCCTCCCATGCTCAGCTCACTGTGGAAGGATAGAAGTGGATTTTTATGCTGGAGCAGACAGTCTTACTGAAACACAAAATATTTCCATCTGTCTAAACTAAGCCGTGTTTGTTTTGCTAATAAAATCCCCCTGGTTACATACAATGCTATTGACATCTGAAGAACGAACAGACCTTTGGAGCTGGTTCAAGCTCTACCTGAAGTCTGGAGCTTTCTCTGATAGTGGTCAACAGCAGATGCCTTAGAAGAGCCCATGAGGAAACCACATGCGGGCAGCACCCCAGAATACCTCTAACTCCCTGCTGGATCAGCCCCTGGCCAATGATGCAGGGTGAGACATGGGGCCCTTAGGGCATTGAGTGGCTGTCCTTTTGGGCTCCTCCTTCCCTTGGCTGTTCTCTGGCTCTGACAACAAAGAGCACTTTGGCAGTGCCGTAGCGTGCAGACTTGAGTCTCTCTGTGGTTAATCATTCATGTGAATTAGCGGTGCGAGATCTTTAATACAAAGCTTGAATTTAATTTCAATTTCTGCTGTCCGTCATTGTCTCTTTTTATCAGCTTTTAGAGATGACAGCATACCGAAAGTAGCTAAGATTAGATTCTTGCTTTAAATATTTAGAGTCTGAATCACATCTATTTGTACTTCATTGCAAGGTTGAAGTAATGTGGCAGGGCACACACACTGCCGTTGTTAAAACTCTCAAATTAAAGGAGCGCTGAATTATTCATCCTAAACTCTTAAACAACTTCTCATTGCAGTCCTGAAGAAGTTCCCTGCCCACGGCCAGCAGTGCTGCCCTATGTGAGGTTGTCACGGCTATGGGCTTTTTGTGCTCACAGCTGATGATGACCTCTGGGGACTGGCAGAGCCCAGCACATTGCAGGACAGACATGGCGAGCTTCCGCTTAACAAACTTACCTCTGGTTGGTGACTGCAGAGCCATCAGAAAATATCCACCACTGATGACCTACAGCCGTGTCTCAGCTATCTGCCGGGAAGGCATGCTAGTTGTAGCCCTTCATCAACAAGCCCAAGGGCAGATGGACAGGCAGTACACTGTGGTCATGATGAGGATTGACTATAAGCAGGAAATAAAAGCCTGGAGGGAGGAGAGGGATGCATCTCAGAGACATCATGGGCAGAAGCAGCCATTCCAAGTTATGCTTGCTGCCAGATTTTCCCCCAGCACTTCTATACTCCACCAAGACTTCAGTGAAGGCACCATTTTGCTCTGCTGACACGTAGGAAGCCAAAGGAAAGGATCTCAGGTGGGACATCCATTAGGTTGCAAACTCCATCCCCTTTTCATTGCCAAGAA